CTCCACCAGCTTCTCTCCTCCTCCTTCTCCACCAGCTTCTCCCTTCTCCCCTTCCTCATTCTTAGCCATATTGAGTCAGCCATACGGCCGCCGTGCGTATAGCCATATTGAATCTTATCCACCTGGCCGCCGTGCGTATAGCCATATTGAGTCCGCCACACGGCCGCCGTGCGTATAGTCTCGGCCGGCAGGAACTTGGAAGTCGCTAACTGTTAAAGTGGACAATAAGCAGTTGGTGAAAAGCCTTTTCAGTGAGCATGAAGCCTGTGATGATGATAATTTTGATATGCCTATTGCCTAGTGTCGCCCGAAGGGTCGTTGTCATATAATGGTGTATAATATGTACCTGAGGTAACTATTTGATATGGTTAGGGTTAGGGTGTTAGGGTTAGGGAGTAGGCGTAGGCGACATACTCGCCGACACCTCGGGTACTACATATACGACAACGACCCCTTCAGCCCTAGTGTCAGTGTTTCTGGTGCTGCTGCGAGTGCTGGCACTGCAAGGGGTAGCGGTCGACCTATAGCTATAGGGCCTACTACTAGTACTACTACTACTAGCAGTATGAGTACTAGTACTAGTAGTGGTACGGAAATGGACATTACCATTACTGCGGACAGTGTCAATTATTATTGTAAACTTTACATCAGAAGATTGTGAACAATTGACTCAGCCCTAAAACGAAAGCCAAAAAGGGGCTTCAATGAACGACGGCTGCCGTACCTCCCCCCGGAGGGGGGCACACCCATTGTTAAAGGTACTGGGTACGTGCCGCTGGACAGGGTATATTTTCCGAACATCATTTTTGGCACAGGGTTATTTAGATACCCACCCATCAAGCTGATATTGGCCCAATATTGGCAAAACAATGTTGGGCCAATATCACCAGGCCGATATTGGACCAATATATGCCTATGTTGACAGGAGGACAGGACATAACCGAAGTGTGCAATATTGCAACAGGGTATACTTTTTAGTGCAATATATTGGGACAGGGTGTATTTTAGGACGAAAAGCCGTTGTGACAGGGTCAGGTTTTCAAGGTCTCTGAGGCACCCCCTACCCAATTGGCAGTTCCGAGACGAGTGCCCCCCCCCACCCTCGGGGTACCTCAAGCCACTACCATGACTATGTATATATACTCATAACTGTACATTACGTACGACGGTGCATAATTTTAATTTTGCTAGTTGTTTATGTCACTAATATTGCCATTAAATTCAGTGATATGCGGGAATTACGATTTTAAATCGGATTTACGATAACATTAGTACAAGAAATATTACTAAGGATTCAGTATGGCCTGGTACTAGTGACTAGTGCCAGTACAGTAGTGGGGCACAAATCCACTTTAGGCACCTTAGGTATCACGAGGTGATGCACAGAGTGCACAGAGCTGGATTTGCGCCCAGTAGTGGTACAGGAGGTCCATGGGGGTGACACCATGCATGAGGCATTACCGCACCAGGTGACTATCATCATAAGTGACTATGTCTATGGTGACACTAACCCTGGTGACGCTGCTATCCCTACTAATGTTGGGTTACAGCCCTTATCTTCTGCATATATTCATCTTTGCTAAAGTGGTTTACAAGGTTTATTCTGCTAATTTGCGCGGCGAGTGGTCGTCATGGAGGAAATGACGTCTCAGTACGGCATGCTGGGATATGCGATAATGACGTTTCTCTCGAATTACGATTCACGCGGTATCATCGATAGAAACGTAACACATAATAATAAAAGATCTATTGTCACACGCATATTGCGCATAAACTGCGCGCAGATCGCGTGCATTGTGCGTGTGAATTGCTGTGAACCGGGTGCACAGTTACACTACCATTCTTTGATTACAACATAAAAATACACAATCTTAGTTTGGGATCCCGACCCCCATTTTCGCAAATGTGCTAAAATAATCTGGGCCTGGGGTGCTAAACTAGGAACCCATAAATTGTCGTCCCGAAATGCCACGATTACTACAAACAAACCTGTGAAATATGTGATATTATAATTTGCAAAATGTAAACGAATCGTCATGTGTTGGACCGAAACTGTGTTGAATCGAAAATGTATTTTAGCGTGCGAAGGGGTGGCACTGCTAGGATAAAGTCCTGGATAACCCTCATAATCTCACAGGATAGAGTAAATGTTAGATCAACACTGCGAATTGCAGTAGGAAAAGCACCAATTTTGCATTTAGCCAAAGGGCCAAAGGGGAAGAAGACCTCTGTTAACGTTTAAGAGTGTACCCCACATTTACGAAAGTTACGTCCTGATATTAGAGTTTAAACTAGGATCAGAGCGAGAATTCCAATATCGTGAATATGAGATTGCGGAAACAACAAAACTACATCTAAAGGAATCCTTTAAGCAAGAAGGAATGCCAATGAAAAGGAAGGAATGCTTCACCTGACCATGATAAATCTTATGAAAGGTTATAAGTTTTGCATGGAGAAAGCAGACACGAAGACTATAGGCCAGTCAAGTTTTGTCAAAACAACCTCAGAACTATTATGGATACCCATCTCGCAGCTTTATGATGAATGGTGTCTAATTTAGAACATTATTGAAGCGTATAAGGGCTGCAAGTTGGCAAAGCATATATTCTAATGACTCTTAGGATGGTAGCTTTGTACAACAATGAAATCAATCATTTTTCAAAAACCGTCATCATAAACAAGCATTGAGAAAATATTAATCTCTTACCCAAACTTGTGTTTGTTAACAGATATTAGCAAAATTATACACATTTCGGCTTACATACTAATTTCATGCCCTATCAACGCACAAATATATACACTGAGAAGCCGAGTCACTCGGTGCTGCAGTGTCAATATTAATTACTCCACACAAAAGCATCTAGGGGTGCTTTTACAAATGTAAGTTTTGGAATGCAAGGTTAGAATAAGGCAGCTTTTGTGTTGAGTCTATCGGATCAAATTATTTTTATGCACAAAATGCTAGCATAGAATACTACTTTTATTAGATTTATTATAGATTTCAGAAGAAAGCTGCGTTAATTGTTTTGTTTCAGCCAGGTATAACATGACAGAGCAGAAAGTGATCCTAGTTACTGGTGGAACGGGTCTAGTTGGCAGGGCGATAGAACGTGTTGCGTTGGAGGAGGAACGAGCAGATGAAAAATGGATATTTTTGTCATCAAAAGATGCTGATCTAAGGTAGGCGATTTGCTATTTGATATTCGTTCTGATGCACACTACATGTGCTTATGGCTACACATGATTAATCCATTGTGCTGATTTTCTCTAAACCAGATTTTTGTCAAGTCATTCCTCAGACGGGCCAAGTTTGATATTGGACTTTAGGACTCCACTTTGTTATGATATTAGGGGTCGAAATAAGCGATGGTCCGATGGTCCTGGACCATCAAATAATCAGGAGGACCATAAGATTTTCAAAGTCAATGGTCCGATAAACCATTGAATATTTTGGTCTCATTTTACAGTAATTTTCTTTGACGTTTCCACGTTCCAATATACTATTAAAGTGGATAAACAATTACTGTATCGTTTGATACTTTCATTGTAGGTGATTAATTAAATCATTTTATCACCATGTAAAATCTCTTTCTTACGCTTGCACGCCGCATTACTTTTAGAGAACAATTTGAAATTTAGGAGGACCATCTAAAGGTCAAACTAGATGGTCCTGTGGACCATCTCTTTTTTCTCCTTATTTCTACCCCTGTGATATGCTTAGAATTGAGTTACAAAATTAGGTTTACATTTAAGAGTTAGCAGGGCTCTCCCCCGTAGTGCATGTTGGGTCCAACATGCTTTCAACGCTGAAACAAAATTGTGACATTTCATACCTCTAACATGCTTTAAATGCATAATCGACATGCAATATTTTCCAGCTATGTATAATTTTAATAATTCCAACAGAGTCATGTTTTCATAGCTTGATGTATACGTCTCAGAACTGATCAAGTTTACCTGTCTATTGGAGCTGCTCATGGCATGCGTAATTAACTCCAATTAGCAACTGGGGATGAAATGCCCAATTGCCTGATGTGCAATCTGACATTCTTGAGGAGAACCTTGGTTATGGTGATAATTGGTTGGATTTATGAAGTGATCCTGATAAGTCGTGCGTCTAGTGTATCTACTATTTTTTTTCTATGGTTCTTGAAAGTGATTTAATATGCCACTGGTATAATCTGAATAAAGGTAAGCATTCCATTATATAATCACAAAGTAGTTTTACTATATTGTACACTTGTGTATAAGATATTCAGGGTTCTCTCTAGGGGTGTCAGAAGGCATGTCATTTATGGATGGACAGGGAAGGGCCCGGGAGGGATTTGTACCAAGTTGAGTCAATTACGCGTGTCATAAGCAGCCCCAATAGACAGGTAAACTGTTTGGAGACGTATACATCAAGCCAGGAAAATACATTATGAATGTGTTGGGAACTTGGGATTGTCAAAAGTAAACACAGCTACAAATTAAGGCATGTTCACAGGATTTATGGGATGTCACAATTTGGCTTAAGCTTGTCGGATCTGACATGCGATAAAGGCTCGGGTAGATCCATGATATATACAGTCTCATTGTTTTGCTTAAAATTGTAAACATGTCACAGAAACGATCATTACCTGCTGGATACATCTATTATTGTATCCCTCGCGACAAAGTCGGCGCGGATACTATGGTTTCATGTCGGTCCAGCCGCCGCCGCCGCATACACTTTCCCTTCCGCTCTACAACTCGACCCCTAATTGACCTAGCGTGACCAAACATGGTCTACTTACACAACTTGGGGAGAAGGTGCGCAGCGTACCAAAACCAGGTCACTACGACCTTTATTTGACCTTTACCTTGACCTTTATCATATTTCCCTTCCGCTCTATAACTCTGCCCCTAATTGACCTAGCGCGACCAAACTTGGTATACTTACACATCTTCGGGAGAAGGTGCGCAGCGTACAAAAACCAGGTCACTGCAACCTTTATTTGACCTTTACCTTGACCTTGATAATATTTCCCTTCCGCTCTATAACTCTGCCCCTAATTGACCTAGCGTGACCAAACTTGGTATACTTACACATCTTGGGGAGAAGGTCTGTCGCATACCAAAACCAGATCACTGCGACCTTTATTTCTTATTTTCCTTATTTTCCCCTACTTTCGCAACGACACTTGGTGTACTTACACGTCTGAGAGAGAAAGTGCGCATTGGCACCTGTCTTTGACCTTTACTTTGACTTTGACCTTGACCTGAAGATAATCTCTCCGACTTTTAGTTTAACCCTAATCAACATAGCGGATTATGCAAGGAAATGTTAAGACATTGTAAAAAACATGAGTCTTTTTAAATTGCGTCATCAGTGATTAAATGACGTCATCCATGAATTTGTTTAACTGTGATGACCTGAAACTGTCTTAGCTTTATTATCCCTGTTTCTCTGTGTGCTAATATAATTACTATACTTTCCATACATTGCCATTAATAATTATGTACTGTTTCCGTGTAGCACAGTATTATACAGTAAGATTCTTTTTATAGTGTTTTCACCACTGACCTTGACCTTAGTTTGACTTTGACCGGCGACTTAGATTTCCTCTTCAGCCTCCTAGGGTAACCAGATTCGACATACTTGCACATCTGAGGCAGATCAGTTGTGTAACAAACCTTTGTCTTTGTGACTTATTTAACTTTACCTACCTTCTACGTTCTTACAGAGATATTTCATTCATACTAGATCACGGGGGATACATGTAGTTGGCGACAACTGCCCTTTCTAGTTATTTTAATCAAATCGTATTTTACACCTGACATTTTATGAACATTTAAAAAATAATGAGAGTGATTTTATTAGGCTGGTTAACAGGAAGTTTATGTTGGTTTTGCAGTGATCTTGCAAGTACCAAAGCATTATTTGCTAAATACAAACCCACCCATGTGATACATCTGGCTGCAATGGTTGGTGGCCTGTTCAGAAATCTGAAATACAACCTTGATTTCTTTGTAGGTATTTTGATATTAATGTTTATCACTAGTTTATTTCTATTGCAATGTTTCTTACTTGCTAAGCTTGTAAACATTTACATGGTATATATCATGATCATGCAAAAATTCATATCCCCCCTTGTTTGATGAAACCATTTCAGTCATCAGATATTGATCACTACTTTTGCCATGTGTCAAGGAGTAATTGAGATTTAAACCCTTTCTACTGTGATTCACAATGCTGATCTGTTAATTTGGTAAACGTTAGACTCTCCCATGCTTCGGTACAGTTCCTTGGGCTATGAAGGATATATGATTGTTATCATATGTGGCTGTGAGGTTACTAACATCGCTTAATAGTAAATTTACTATACATTCCATTTTTATATGTAACAATTGATGTATGCTTGATAACTCAGCTGTGTAGAGGTTGTTTTGGTGTATAGGATTAGTGCCTTAGCAGTTACAAAGTGCATGATCATAGTACTAGAGGGTCAGTCATTCAATGGACAAAATCTAAAAATAGACAAATCAGCATCATTTTCTTTTTGTCTGTGCACTAAGAGAAAGGGTATTTGTCATTGCAGAGAAAGAACATGGCAATAAACGACAATATTCTTAGCTGTAGTCACACGATAGGTGTCAAGAAAGTAGTCTCCTGTCTGTCAACATGCATATTCCCAGATAAGACAACATATCCGATCGATGAGACAATGGTAATGAATTTTAATTTGAGACTTTATAATAATTCAGTGATTTAATTTATGATTACCTGATAATATTAGTCACATGTCAAATCCTGTAGAAGATGATCTGTTTGTTTTTGTTTTATTGGCTAAGATGTGGTAGTTTGTTTGCAGTAGTATACGTCAGCACTCAGGAGTCCTGTAATTTAACTCTCACTTTATGCTGCAGTAAGTGATGACTTGCAACTATGTTAAGAGTTTATTACCCCATAGTATCTATGTATATATCTGGAATGGAATCTGCAATTCAGGAAGGATGCTTATAACTGCCATATAGACAATTTATAGATGATATTGTGTGTATAGTGTATCTAAGTGAGTCAGGTAACCACACTCCCCTAGATGTTGTTGCCAGGTCGATCAAGCCCACCCAGTTTGTATGTGGTTTTATATATGTGCACACTAAAATGTTTAGTTTGTAGCACTTCATGGCATTGTTTTTAGAACCTGCTATCAAACCACTGATCGGTTATAGCCATGTGTCGATTGTGCAAGGTTGGATCATATCAGTTGAAATGTAGACAGTGACATAACAGTGGTGAGAATTCTTCTGCATACGTTCTGTAATTTGTTCTGATGAACTAGGTGAGATACACTACAGTGTGGACCACTACAATAGGTGTGCTAGCTCAGATACGTAAACCTTCCCAACTATGCATGTTATTTCACATCGGTGCTCTGTGCATGACAGATCCACAATGGCGCGCCGCATGACTCGAACTTTGGCTACTCGTACGCTAAGCGGATGATCGATGTGATGAATAAGGGCTACAACACGCAGCACGGCTGCAACTTCACGGCAGTGATTCCCACCAATGTGTTTGGACCCTACGACAACTACAACCTTGAGGATGGACATGTGTTGCCAGGGCTCATCCACAAAGTCTACAATGCAAAACGTATGGCCTTCCTCTGCTTCACTTGCTACCACTCACATTTATGCTGTTTACCTTGATTGCTTATTTGACCTACTATGGCTCACATGTAACACATTTTCCTTACGCATTTTTATTATGCTTATGCTTTGTCCTTATGCATTATGCGTGTTATGCATTTTCCGCATGTAAGGCATGTTACCTTTGTCTACTGCCCAGACAGATGTACCTGTAGCGCTACCAAGTTACCAACTGCTCTCACTCATATGTCACCTGTAGTTTACAAATGTTACCACCGGCAGCCACGTGTACTTTCAGTATGATTGGAAGGATAAGCTATCTAGGGTTGAGTATACTTAGGAGTGTACTATGGTGTAAAAAGTACCGTACGTATTTGCCAGAAAATCCTGAAGGGTGTCACGGCACCCATGTACAGTTTTTCAATGTCATACATGTGTTAGATGTGAAAGGTTAGAGTTGTGTGCCAAAATCAAAGATAAAATTTCATCATGAGATGGTTATTGCTAAATCGAATTTTGTAAATACATATTTGCATCGTTTCTTGTAACTAATGCCATTTTATGCATTGTTGCATTAGACTGTCAAATGACTCTGTACATAGTAAATGAACTGAAACACCCTTAAACCTCGATCTCTTATGGCTAAAAAGCTGCTGTTATTTCAGCAAACCTTTATGGAAGCAGGCCATGTGGTGTCACAGAGACATTTTTAGTATAGCTTTAACTCTGCTGGCATTGTGTTAGACATTAATCTAGCAACTGCATGGAGACATTTTCTGACTAATCCCAGTACTGTGTATGTTAATTTTGATATTTATGTCTTGGTACTGTTTTTGCTGAACTGTGTCACCAAAATTAATAAGAAGTTCTGTGGTTCATTTGAAAGTTTTTCATGTTGCTGACTTGTGTGTTTGCCTTGTAGGAGATGGGTCACCGCTAGTGATATGGGGAACAGGAAAACCACTGCGTCAGTTCATCTATTCCTACGACCTCGCTAGGTTAATGGTGTGGGTGCTCAGGGAATACAAAGAAACTGAACCTATAATTCTATCAGGTAATAGTTTGCTTTATAGAGGTATTTGCTAATACAGGTTTAACTGCATGTATATCTTAGTTTCTTAATCTAACCATCTGTGACATAGAAAACATTTGTTGTGTGGGGTGTTGTAACTGGAAGTGTATTAGTTAATTTAATTATCCTTGATCCTTACTTGATCTTGATATATGATCCTACACAAATTATAGATAGTGAGAGGTCATACCTGTGAACGTTATACTTGATCTGAGCCAAGCCTAGTCTATTGCACTAGATACCTAGTTCAGTAAAATGTACCTAGTCACCTGTTTTACTGCACCATTACTTGTACAAAATGGTAAATGGTACAGATAAAGTATGAAAAAGGGATTCCTCAGTTTGCAAAATTTTGAAAGATTGGCTAGATTAAAGCATGTTGTACCAACGTCCCTTCTGTATTAGTTTTAGTCCACTCATAGAACGTTCATACTGCTGGTTTGGCCATATATCGAGTGAAGTGAATCTGCTTTGCCGTGAGTGCATGTTACTGACATCAGTGTTTTTCGCTTCTGCCCTTGTACCTGTGCCACGGATGAGGGTGACAAAAGGTTTGACCCAGTTTGCGAGCACCTATCGTATCAGACCTGAAAGATGGGTGTGTAGATTATAGCGGGATAGTGCGCGGAGTGGTTTCCTTATTACCTTGTTAGAGATTCTATCAGAGAATTCTTTGTGATCCACGAAACCAGCTTTTTAAAGGGATAGTAGCCTCTAGGTTTTTACTGCATACAACTGTACTTACTGTATAACAAATCGTCTATACCCACACGTATTTGTTACCAGATACCTAATTTAATTGTTATAATTAATTACGCATCAACGCTACGAAATTTGAACGGCGCCATGACACCTGCGACCGTGCTGCCACCCCGAAAAAGTTTCGTATTTGACAATTTATTTTGCACGTTATAGACCGAGGGCTAATCACAAAAGTGCAATTATATTTATACCTAAATGCTATTTCGGATATTCATTTTAGGGCAAATTTATCGATATTATAACTGAAACTATATGTCGTTTATAAGATATTACAATCCTTTTGCTTTTAAATTAATAAATAAGAAACACTCTCGATCTGTAGCCCTTGGCTGAAAAGTGGTTTTGCGCAACTCATCAGATCGTGCGCTTTGAGTGGCGCCACCATCGTTGTAATCAAACTGTAGTCGTTAGTTTTAAAACATTTTTTAATAATATTTCTAATGGTGATTGAACCATGAAACTTTTTATGCAGCGTAATTTTAACCTAAATTAACTGAAAATAACCCTAGAACCTAGAGTAAACGATCCCGTTAAGCACTCTAGTGTTGTCAGTATCAATTCAAGGCTTGGGCCTGAATCTCTCATTGAAGATCTAGACCTGTAAGTAGTGTGTGTGTGTGTGTGCGTGCGTGCGTGCGTGCGTGCGTGCGTGCGTGCGTGCGTGTGCGTGGGTGCATGTATGTGTTATAGGCAATGCGACATGTCTTTTTCTATTGTTGCTGGAATATCTCAATACTTATTTACTACAATATTTCAGTTTCTTGCTTTTCCATGCCCTGTTGAATGGGCCCTATAACGTGGAGAACAACCAAAGATGGCGGGCGTGTAACAACAACTGATTTATTATAGGAACAGTACAATACTCGTCCATAGGTGGCGCTCGTATATCAATACTGTACATATCGCCACAGGCCCTAGCTTGTTTTGGGGCTGCTGATGACTTGCTTGGTCTCATAATCGGTCATGTTTATAGGTGGTTCCTATTAAAACACGTTTCTGACTGATAACTTGGAACTGTTTATATTGATGTAGAGATCTTTGAGGTGACTTTAACCAATATCTTAACAGATGCAATCTCATCTATATGCAATGCAATCTTACAGATGCAATCTTAACAGATGCTGCTAATCACAATAACAAGCATCCAAATGCGTTGTACTCATTCCATGTACCTGATTATTAATGTAACATAATTTCTTACAGTTAATGAAGAGGCTGAGTTGTCTATAAAAGATGCAGCAATGACTGTTGTTGAAGCAATGGACTTCAAGGGACAAGTGGTTGTATCCTTTACTGCACAGGTGGCAGCACTTCAACTAATTATTTCAAACCTAAGGCTAATTGTCTCAGAACATCGTTATTTTCACAAAAATAGGTGCGTTCACACTGGCGCGAATTAGCGGGCTGCAAAGCCCGGTTTTTGCAGCCCGCTCGAAAAACCGAGCTTTTTACAAGTGTGAACGCAATTAGCTCACTAAATCGCGCTCAAAATAGCGCGCTGCAAAGAACACTTCCGACTGCGCTAATTTGGAATAAGCGCGCTTATTTGCACCGCGGCGTGTTATCCCGCTCGGCGATTAGCGAGATATTTCCGCCTGTGTGAACAACGACACAATTAGCTCACTATTATCTCCGCTATTAGCGGGATGAGCAGCGCGGTTTTTCTTGTGTGTGAACACGCCTTATATACAAAGATTGACATCCGTTTGTTTACATTGTATCAATGCAGTTAGTTACACTTGTTTCTCTCGAAATCCCGTCCCGCTCATGTTAATATGTTAACTCGAATTAAGCAATAGAGATGTTGTACTAGTCTAGAACCACTACATCAGTAAATGAGATGCACTTTTATCTGGTGGTTGCCAATTTCAAGGGAATTGTCATGACACGAAAGAACGTGGCTGCATTATTCGCTATTTTATATACCATAAAACTCATGGTCATTTTTATACTGAAATAATCAGTAACATGTTCACTGTTAGGTGAGACTACATTTGGCTATATTTTTTCTGATTGTGCAGTTATTCATGAAAGTTATTCTATCACCTGTATGTGATTAGCGAAATAGGCGATTCTAAACACAAAGCCAAATTTGTATGGAAGAGTGATGCCTGACTCACAAGGTATGGCTCAGTGCTCGAAATAAGCGTTGTCCGGTTGTCCCTGCGGACCAACCGGCCCCGGGGCATCAAACTCCGCCGCGTCCTGCTCAACGCAACCCAAATTATCCTCGGTTGTCCCACCAGACCACTATCCGCCCGCCCACAAGCAGTGCTCCGTACGTTCATTCAACTCACCCATAATAAATGATCGATCGAAAACGGACCCAGAGAAACAGTGGGCCCATAAGCCGAGCGACTCTTCTTCCTAACAAGGGGGACGCAAAAACAGCGAACTAGCGGCAAAATAGATGAGGGGTGTCAATATCCTTGTAGGGCGTGGCTGCCTCCGCGCCCGCGCTCCTCGCACACAGCGCCTACAGCGCTCTCGTACGCTCTCAGTTCTGTCATACATGCCAAAAAAGGCGGGCATTGTTTGTTCATTGTTCTCTGCTCAAACCCAAGATATGTAATTGTTCAGTCGGCGGGTTTTAGGGATTCGCATAGGAAGGAGTGATGCTGAAAAAGCAGGCATACGGGGGGGGGGTACTGGCGGTCCTCCTCCAGAAAGTCTTAGAAACTTGCTGGGGTTTGATGATAGTGTGTCCCCGAGTGATCGATTATTAGTCCGAAAATCGATCGAATTATAGTCTCAAATTCGATAATGCGATTATGAAAACAAATAATCGTTAGTTATCAAAAATACAAATGAAATAAAAAAAAAAATTAATTAAATCGCACATGGACATGTGATGGTAGCAGAGTAGTAGTGCGAAATCAGTGTGTAGTCCAGAGAAGCACCTATCAATGAATCACTGTTAATCATTAGGTCCTGTCTGAATTGCAGAGGCGGGCAACTATGTAATTATAGACATGGGACAGAATTGGAGCGATGCGTCTTTGTTTTGTTTTGTGACACTGGTCCAGCAGATGGTTATCGGGCGATGATGAGATTTCTTACGCGTCTCCGTATGTTTGTTAGCACTTTGTGTGATGGAAGAGGTTGTATTGTCCAATTGACTATGACATTAACTCGGCTACACAGGGCCTAGCACGTATTAGATAACATCAAAGCAAGCTTACTTACTAGTTACTAATAGATAAAAACAAGAGCAAGTCGTTGATCATGTTTGTATTAAAACTTTTAGATGTTTTAATAAAGACATTTAACAGGCCATTGTCTTTTTAGAAATTGAATTAATACTGTATACGGACAGACATTGACTATACATAGCAGCAACCTTTCACAGAGCTTATATACATGATCATAGAAAAAATGAATAATATTGAATGGGCTATGTATAATTGTATATACACAACAGTAAGATTAACTATTAAATCTATGCTAATTATTAAGCCGATTAGTGCCGATTTAATAGATCGTTTATTCGAGTCGTTAAGAGGAAAACCGAAATAATCCGATTATGAACATTCCAGCCGATTCCCATAGCACTAGTCTTGCCTGGTTCTGCAATCGGAGTCAACCGGGTCGTGCATAAATCCAGAAACACCTGACATAGTACCGGCAGTCGTTGGAAAATCAGCGCAGGCTGTCCACAATATCTTTTATGATTAATTCACGCGATTTAACCTTCGGGGAGCGGATTAAGATTTCTCTCTGATGACGCCTTACGAAAAGCACATCAGGATTTGAAGTAATGAAACTGAACATTATTGTGGCCGGCTTGAGCGCGAGACACCAGTTGGTTGGGGATTGAGTGTCAGTTCAGATGCAAAATATTGGGAAAGCCAAAAGGCCGTTATAAAACACGCATAGATTAAATTCGGGCTACCGACGCGTATATATAGAGATAGCCGAGTCGGTTTAGGAGTCCAATTGTATAGGCGTTAGGGATAGTCGGTTTCTTGGTTGTCCACCGGACAATGTCTCAGACTGGTTAGGTTGTCCGGCGCAAATTCTGGTTGTCTCGGACAACCGGACAACGCTTATTTCGAGCACTGTGGCTTATATGAGTAGTCCTTGTAAATGCAGAAGTCACATAATTTGTGCACACAATCACTTGCTGAGAATTGCTTCCTGAGCTTACTTCAGTTTGACACGGAAAGAGCTGACGGGCAATACAAGAAAACTGCCGGCAATGCCAAACTCAGACGATACTTGCCAGACTTCAAATTCACACCAATGAAACAAGGTATGAGTTTATAGTTTCATTAATTAGCTTGTTATCTAAGCTGTATGTTATATGCTGGATGCACGTTTATTGCCACTAAAAATTGCTCTTTTTATCTTTGATGTATAGCCAAATAAAGGTATGAAAATGTTTAAGCATTCATGTATTTTTTCATACAGCAATGAAGGAGTCATGTGATTGGTTTGTGAAGAACTATGAAACGGCACGCAAGTGATTGAACATTCTGGAGTGCTCTTCAGCCGACAAACATTTATTACCGAGTATAAATGGATAATGGAGCACCATGATAACTTGTAATTGGTAAATAATTATCATGTGCTTTTTGGCAGTTGCCTACGAGCTAAGGTTTGAGGTTGATCCAATTTGAAGCTTGCACATATGCTGCTTCACTAGGTGGGATGAGTTTGATAAATGGAGTAATTAATATGTCATCAACTGCAGTGAATCTCAATGCCAAATACTATTTTAATCCACCAGCGAGTCACTATGATAGCACTCCCATATCCAAAAATGCACTCGACAGTTGGATGTGCTTTGTAGCTTTTATTCAAAAATCGGCTAATGGCACTACCAGTTTTATTTCTAACATTTGTGAAATTAATGCAATGAAGTATTGATCGTTAACACGTGTAGGGATCTCGTATAATCTTGGTGATTGGTTACACCAAAACCATTTGTAATGCAAAATTATCGCCAAGTGAATATAGGAATTATATTGTTTTAGGTTGTTCTGAAATCATGGAAAGTGCAGACTTGAAAATCTTTTGTTAATAAATGTCCATGTAAAGAACATTTTGAAGTTGTAACATGAATGCAAATCGTGTTGAATAATTCAACTTGGAAAATTGCGTGCAGATTGCACAACATAGACAGACTGCAGACTGTTTCTAATGCTAATAATTGCACATTGTTGATTGGGCCGCTTAACAGAACTCACTCCATTCACGTTTTGAGCACATTTATTACTCAAAAATAGCAAAATTACTAGACGTGATGCGGCCATGATGCCGATCAGGCGAGCCAAGGATTGACACTTTGTGTCCTCCAATCACAGCCTACGCCGCACCTCCCTTTGAAATTTTTATAGGTGGGGACCCATCACGGTACCAAATCGCCGATCTCAGGAACTAGGGCATTCTGCTAGGCTAGAACGGTTTCCTACGATAGAGTTTGGCACAAAAACGAAAATAACACGCCGTTTAGCGCACTGCGCTACATACTTCTGTTGCATTTTTGCATCTCCGGAATCAGAATAAGTCCCGCCTTCTTTGTTGATGGGCATGAATGGGGCATACCGACGTGACCAGTTCCTATACCGACTGTGTTTACTTTTCGTAAATAATGAAATGCCCGGCCGATGCTAGACTGGTACCTGTTCGCCACCTTCCCTCCGGCAAGTATCCTTCGCTATACTGACGCTGTTAGTGTAGCGCGTGGAACTGTCGACCAGGTACCAGTCTAGGCCGATACCAAACTGCATGCAAAGCACCTTCGTACACTCAGGATACTCAGAGATTGAGCCCATGAGCGAGAGCGCCATCTGTCGTGGAGTTTGGGCCAATGCGATGCATTTTCTGCGTTTTCTGCGTGATTATTATTTTGCACTCATTTTCGAAATCCTCCAACACTTTTACTTTTTCCATTAAGTCCATGTTTCACTGTTATTTAGGAAGGAAGGTAAAACTGTGCATTCATATAATTTCACTCTTGCTTCTATAGTATGGTTTCCATAATTTTGCTCTTCTGCCCATGATAATATTTTCCTCATCATGAACCTACATTTTTCAGTTCGGACTCTTATCATATCGTTATAACCTTCTATATGATTAATTAAATCCCATAGGTATGAATATTTGGTGCATTTTTTGATTACTTGGTTGCCTATTAATATCTCCTTCTCTATCCTTTCTTTGTTGGTGAATTTTATAACCATTGTATTTGTTTTGTTCATATTAAATTCTAATCTTTTTGATTCAGCTAATCTGGAGCATGGCTGAGCGATTTTTGTTACTGTTTTATAATCTCCAATTCCTAGAATATCGTCCATATATAATCATTGTCATCTTCTAAAACTACAGACCATCCGCTGTGATATTTGCCGGGTCTCAAATTTGGCGCACGTCTCCACTGCGGACAGCGCTTCATACTTGAACATCCCCGCTGTCGCGTGCGCATATCCCGTGGAACTGCGCGTCTTATCCGCGCACAGCGCTTAAGATCAACAGCAAAGCTGTGCCTCGCAATCTTGTATCATGTCTCTCTGGATATATCAAAAATATCACAATACAATCACATCATTATACAAGGTGCTACCACTGATCTATACATGGTATCATATCATCCTCATCATTTCACGTGCTGACTAGCAGCCGTGCTACGCACATCCTGATCTCTCTCCCCCTTGTGATATTGCCCTCTACACTGTTGTCACCAGTTATCTCTATCACTCGCTTCTTCAGCAGCAGTCTCCCAGTTGATGTTCATGTCTGCCAGCTGCAGCTTCATCAATCTCAGCCAGGTAGTAATTGGTCGACCGGCTGGCTGATCTACTTTTCTGTCTGCTTCACGGAGTGCTAACCTTACAGGAGTGTTTTTGGGGAGTCTCATGATATGTCCAAAAAGTCTAATTCTACGTGTTTTGATGACTTCACTCCATTCTGTAAAATTGAGTAGTTCTTTCAGGGCGACGGAACTAATTTTCTGAGGGTATCTGATGTTTATGGCCCTCCTTAGAAGGCGGCGTTGGAAAGAGTCGATTCTACCAGCAAGATCTTTAGTTATAGACCATAATTTGGAGTTGTAGAGGAATAGATGGTACTTCTTTGCGATAGGTATTCGATGGTGACGCCATATATTGTTCCAAACATTCATTGCTAATATAGCTTTTTGTTTTCTTTCAATGAGGTCTTCCTCAGTTCCAAGACGACTGCCCAGGTATTTACATTTTCCCCAGTTATTGCTTCCCCTCTTTTGATTGTATACTCCTCGGTTTTGTCCGAGTTACAGGAAATGTTTCTGCTGTTGAGCTGTGGTGGTATTGTCTTTGTAGTATTGTGCAAAATGATACGGTCCTATATGATGATACACTACTATGATGATCCAACCTATATCATCACCATACTGCATGGGGTGTGATGGTTACGTTGAGGTTGTTCTTTATATTTTCATAATTATGGTCGCAAAGGTGTGATGGAGTAGTGTCAGGTGTTGTATCATATGGTATCATATACGTTAGTATATTATATAGATCAGTGTATCCTACCGAATATAGATATAAAGATGGGAGACAAAAACTCATAACATAGTAATTTTTGCAATGTTTTCCTTTATTGAAATTTTATAAAAGTTAATGCAACATATAATACTTCGCGGTGGGATCTGTGGTTACAGATGTCCGTTTAAAAGGTTATTACTATACATTTAAAATTGATTACGCGTACCGTTTGTCTGGTTTCATGCAAAAGCTCGGATGAATACAAGCACAAACATACATATAGAATGTATTTAATATAAATTATATACGTATGCTCATTATACAATTATACAACGAATGACTTTGAAAACAGGTGCGTATAAAGTTGCTGCAATGACAAAGACGCTGAACAAATACTTCCTGAATGTACAACCAACAACAAAAAAACAATTCACAAAATGCATTATTCCAGTATTCGCTGTGAATAACTTTGCTCCGTCAGTCGCGCACACTGGAAAGATCAACACAAGTCGGCTCAATACCTAACAACACCATTACAGTAAATATACTAAGTAACTCACAGTTGTAGTGGCGAAATTTGATTTGACCGGAGAACATGAACTATTCAGTAGCAACGTCAGGCAAAAACAAGTGTACGTGTCTACGTAACGATCTTTGTTGTTCAGATCACCATGGGAACGTAGTTATTATGCAGTGAGACTAATTTTATTGCAGATGTGGGATTTGACACAAACCATCAAGACATACATTTTGTCAAAAAACTTTACAACTTCTATATTTGTTATTTAATGTGTATTCCTTCACTAACCTCATGGTGATGTTGTATCAATTTTTAGATTCTCAGAAGGAATACACTTCATTTATATATCAGTACTACTATTACTGGATGTGGCAAGATTATAAACTATTCGTCGTAGCCAATCATTCCGAATAAAAAAACACCAAATTTGACAAAAGTCAGCCTAGATGTAATTAACAAACGACCATTGGAGAGAGACATGGAGTCCGTGTTTTCCATTACAGCGCTTGCAAGCCACACACGTACGGCACGTGCACACGCACAAATCAGTCCTTCAGAAAGTGCAGAATTCATGTTATAACACGCACGAAATATAATATTGCTCACTGCCATTTGTATACTATAATACTGTAATACTCTACCAAGCACTTACGAAAATCTAGTGGTTGCTATGACTACAAGGAAGGTAACCATCACAATAACAAGTCAAAATCAGCATCGGGTAACAGGCTATAGCATTCTATAGGAACAGAAAGAAGCGCCACAAATAAAATATGAGATTATAAACGACCAGCAATGTAATAAAACACGTATGTATGTACGTAGGTACGTACGTGTATATAATATAATATATATATATTTATTTGTGTGTGTGTGCACGCGTGCATATGTGTGTAATAAAACACGTATGTATGTACGTAGGTACGTACGTGTATAATTATTATATACACGTATATACATGTATGCGTGTGTGTGCGCGCGCGTGGGCATGTGTGCGCCCGTGTACGTGTGTGTGCGCGCGCGTGCGCGCGTGTGCGTGTGCGTGTGTGTGTGTGTGTGTGTGTGTGTGTGTGTGTGAGTGTATGTGCGCGCGCGCATGTGTGTGTTTCTCTTAAAAAAGAGAACAGTGAAACTGAACTGTTTATACAAATGTTTTTGAAAAATGTCACAAATCGCCTTTTTTTTCATTTCCACAAATAGGTGTTCCAGCCACTTTCGTTCCTTCCATCTACATCCAAATTTAGAGTAATGCTAGAGATGAGATACGAAACTTGTTTTCATTAATCCGGCTATTTCATTTGCGTAATACCAAGGAAGGAGTTCTACAGTCACGGCCACTACGTATGCAACTCTCCAGCAGAAGTAGCACTGCCTCTCACATATTGCACGGTCGCTGCTTGCTGGTCTTGTGCCCGCAGCGATCTCCTCCAGCGACAATGTTGCGAGATCTCGTCTGTCTTCCCTCGACACACTCCGACCACTCTCCCCACTGGTCGAACAGGCAACGCTCTGCAGCAAAGACTGGGTTAGTTTCTAGATACCACTATGCACCTAAAGCTCTGGTACATCAGAACCGAATAACCCGGCACCCTGTACTGTGCCACATCAGTACCGTTCATAACCCATCAACCCTCAAGTGTGACATCGGAACCGTTACTAAGACACCCTGTGCTAGAACCCGTGCATTACAATTAGTTTTGCACCAATTGTGACTGAGGTTTGATTTTTAAACATCACGTTACTTTCACACCTATCCTGGCTAAATTCGAGCTGTTTGTTCAACAGAACTCTTTAAAACAAAACCAGTGTTTTACAATCCAGCCAATTCATCTGCTGAGATTTACAAGCAGCTCTGGCCACTCACATGTTTAAATTAAGCGTTCAAAAAACAACGTTTAGTAATGAATTAGTGTCAATTAGAAGTAAAAATTCCGCGGTGCAAATGTGTATGTACACCTACAAACTGGGTGAGCTTAACCAACCTAACAACAATATTTTTTCATCAAAGAGGGGCGTGCATGGTTCTCTCACTCATACCCCGTACAGACTACGAGTTTGATAGCAGGGCCAGGCCCGGGCCTGACGCGCGCTAAATGGTAGCGTACAAACTGCATATTTGATCCTACTTTAATACCCCGTACAGACTAAGTTAGCCCGGGCCTGCTCCTGCTTCATTTGCGGGGCCAACTTGGAGCGGGCCAGCGCGTACTTGGAGCGGGATAGCGTGTACACACTGCAAATATTTAGCGCGAGTCTGGCACGCGCTAGTTTAGTACCATATCAAATTCGTAGTCTGTATACGGGGTATCAGACGTATAGGTCAAGCCATTAAACTATTCGATTGTACCATTTTTAAGAATTTGTCCTTAACTTCCATCAATGCTAACCTAGTCCTTGCTTGTCTAGACAGTTCTTTATCTTCATCTTCGTTGGCGCGCACGTTTCAGGGCCAGCAGACTTCGTCATCACAAGAGTTCGCGTCTGGTCGACAGTGCATTCCGACCACTCTCCACCTGTGTACTCACATCGCTGGCCTGCAATAGATATTGTACCCTCTGCCAGTGAAGGAATAGAAGAAAATCCAACACATATATTTTCAACCGACGAATATTAAAAGTACAGAAAGGGGGAATTGACGAATGGATTAGTGACGAACTGAGAATGCAAAACCCGTGTTAGAGTATAAAAATATGTGAGTATTCTGGAAAGTCATACGTTAAAAATAAACCCGATTAATTTACTTACCTTGTGGAAAAAAACAGTGGGATACAAGATACACATTCAGGAAATACAGATGCCATCTAATTAAATAAACCGTAAGCAATTTCTTACACAATCTCATGAGTTATATAAGCGGCCGCGTGAGGGCGTAAAAACGGCGCCAGTAGAGGCGCCAAAAATAATTTGCATGGTGGCTGAAATTTGCAAGTATATACAGTATTTATTATCTAAACCTATATAGTGATTGAAAACATTATAACATTCATCATTCAACATGTACAACCATATTTCACTATACAGTTACACTTATTTTATTGGATCATGTCGGCCATCTATATAATAAAACTACGGTAGCAAACATTTGCTTCCCATCAAAATTATATTGTTGTTACTACTAACGTCTATATTATATGTTAACCAAAACTATTTAAATCGTGGTGAGCTTTACTTATTCAAGATATATTACTGGGGTTAGTAAACCCTTTTAATTATGAGTCCTCAACTAATTTAGGGTATCTAGTACAAAAGGAGTGGCCCCTTGTGTTTACATAGGAGCCAATAATACTATGGGAACGTGATAGGTAACATGGATTATATAGCCCGAATACTTATCATTCATCACCAACGCAGCTTACTCCTGTTAATTTCTACAGGGTTTCATGCATTTCTCTACACAAACATCGTGTAAGTTACACGTTGTCTGGGTTAGAAAATGCATGAGACTTGTTGTGGACAGATAGCAGGATAACATCTTATACCGAATTTCTACTACTATACCACATACATGCTCTAAACTGCACTAATCTACACATTCTAACTGTTGCAGCTATTCTACAACTTTCTACAACACATTCAACAGCACCCACCGTGACCCGACACCTTTGTCAGAACAGGGCGACCACGGACAGAAACCAACCACCAGTGAGAAAACGTGGACGTAGGTGGCGCCACTCGGCACACGCCGGCTTCCCGCTGCAGCAGGAGCAGCAGCGGACTTACACCACGCACCTTTGTCCTTATCGCACACCTTGGATTTCTCTTTCAGAGCGGGGCACCGATATTCATACTCGTCACTGACGGTGTCGACGCGTGTTTTCACACCCGTCGCCGGGTCGCACGCGCTCCACTCCCCCTTGTCGTAGGCGTGCTTGCATGCTGCGGGCGGCAGGCAAGATATACGCGCGAACTCATGCAGACAGACAGACAGACGCACCCCGGGCAACGCACCGGCACAAACTCGGGAATCCCGAGCTTCCCGCGTGTCGCGGTGTGCGGAAGGAAACCAACGGCTAACGTAGATCTATGACGTACGAGATGGTGACGGGAGACGGTTGCGATCGTATTCGTGCGTGCATGCGTGCACATGTGCGCGCGCGTGTGCGTGAATGTATGTAGAAAAGGCGCATGCGTGTTACGTGCAAGCGTGTATCTGAGTATGCGTGCGGACAAATGCGGATGCGTTATATGCACGTGCGCTCGTGTACGTAAATGCGTGCGTGCGAGCGTGCGTATACGCGTGTGCGTGCACGATGGTGAAGGGAACAGTTATAGGGGCGGGAAAGATGCTCGAATGCATGCGATGCATGCTCGGATTCTGCATCGTACCTAAAAGGTATATCAATCACGAGGGCATGACAGCCAACAACAATACACGAGCAATGTGCACACGTGAGGAGATTCATATAGTTTACACAATATGATATCATTGTAAGCATGGTATGTGGATCCTTACCGACTACCATGCTGGCATGTGTTTTGCTGTAGTGTTTGCATAAACATTAAGCATACGTAGGTGCATACACATTTGTGCAGACTAGAAAAATACGTGGCTAGATAGGCTAACAATCAGAACTGTGACGAAGAGCAACCACCTAATGGTATGTTTGCCCAATGTTTCACATCAAATGGAAATAAATAACCAGTGCAAAAACCAGCTACATGGTGGAATGCGTGGCTGTACAGGTAGCTAAGCACAGAGTAGCACGATAGATGCGTGAGAGGTGAATAGAATTTCACGAAAATCATTGGCCGTGAATTGTCAGCCTGGAATAAACGACCAGTCACATAGTGGCACTGTATCGAGACCGGAACGTGGTGTCTCTCCCAGTGGCACAGGTGACAAAAATATGGCCTCGACCCAAAAGCAGTCGTTCCATACGCCAATTAGTGACACCATGCGAAGACCGGAGCTCCACACGCCTCCTAGTCGCACCTCGTTGAGTACGAGTCACAAATTACGGCTTCAGCCGTAATATCTGGTCTCAGTGCCCCCCCCCCCCAGCGGCACCGCTTCGAGCAGTGTAGCTCACAGCCGCGCGCACTAACCTTTCTCGGGCTTGTCGTGCTTACGCGCTGCCTTGTCGCGCTTGCACTTTTTCTCGATGGTTTTCGTTGGCTCGCAGTTGTCACCACGCTTCAGCGTCAACGTCTTCGTGCGCATGTTCGTAGGCAGGTCGCACTCCGACCACTCGCCTGAGCTGTAGCGGCACTCGCTGGTGACACCTGGTGGCGAAACGTTACACTACACGCGTCCGGCGACTAGCAGCAGCGACGGAGCATGACCATTGAGAAGCACATACTTCGATATATTATACGTTAATATCCAACGATACATACGTCAATACAGCGATATTCTGAAGATCTAGTCCATGCAGTGACTCACACCATCTTACACAGCAGCCCATAAAAGAGACAGACAGATTACAGACCCATGTATCCGTGCGGTCAGTAAAAAACGAGAGCTGGACGTTCCCAAAGTCACTGAGTCATAAACAGAGAAGACGAGACAAGAAAACCATCACCTCTTGCGACAAGGCTGTTAATCACAAGCTGTATAGTCAATGCCGAGACATAAAAGTGTCAGTAATCGAAAAATGCCAGCACCACGTGATACGAGCAGGAAACAGCAAGCGTGGTAGAGAGAGAAGGGTGCGAAAAAGAGGGAGAGAGAATATAGACAAATATATATATATATATATATATAATGGGTTGACATGTATAGACTGATAAAGAGAGATACTCTCGAAAGCTTGCTGATTAAAACACCTTATTTGACACCTTATTCATATATTCTACATTTATTATAATAATAATATATATATATATATATATATATATAATATATATATATATATATATATAAGAAGATACGTATATATATATAAGAGAGAGAGAGAGAGAGAGAGAGAGAGAGAGAGAAATAAGAACAGTAAATATTAAATAACTGTGCATGTCTTGCGCATCCTCTGACTTCAAAGCAGCATGCAGCATGCATCCAGGATTATGCCAACGAAATCGTATTCTTCACTGCACATGCTTTCATGGACTATTCCATAACCAGTGAAAAGCATGATACCAAAAAAACCAAAGCCAAAGAATGTTAAGAGTAAGCCAAACTCAAAATATAAAAAACAAAACCGAACCAAAACCGATAATAAAATGAAGCCGAATCGGAAGCCGAATCGCCTTTGAGAAATCGGTGACATGCGTTGTTTTTCTTTCCGTCTCTCACCTTCCTTCTCCTGCTTTCTAGCCTTCTTGTTTTTTCTCTTCTTGTGTCCATCGCGTCCTCTCTTACCTTATACGCAGTATTGCGAAAACCAACAAGCAACGTTATTCACTTTCATGAAACACACGAGCAGTATAAAAACCGAATACATATTGGAGCTGTGTAATATAAACAACGACTCACACTCACAAACACCCATCCACGTTGGTGAATGGACACACCCCGAGCGTTTCCTTATACTGCTGCTGCTACTTCTACTCTAATACTACTACTGCTACTGCCACAGGCACTTGAAGCGTTTCAATAAAATATAATGCTAACTAAATACGAAATCTATTTACTACCAAATTTTTAATGTTTCTATACTCTCTTTCACCTATTATTGCCGACAGTTTCCTGTCAAATCCTACGTGCAACAATATACGCTGCCGGCGCCATTGCTTTCGCGGCGCGACTGTTGCACGCTTACACTAATATATATAGTACTATATATTACTATATTACTATATATTACTATATATACTACTATATATATTAGTGTAAGCGTGCAACAGTGGAGCCGCGAGAGCAATGTCGCCGGCAGCGTATATGGTTGCACGTAGGATTTGGACGGAATTGACAGGAAACTGTCGGCAATAATAGGTGAAAGAGAGTATAGAAACATTAAGAATTTGTTAGTTCATAGATTTCGTATTTAGTTACCATTATATTTTATTGAAACGCTTCAAGTGCCTGTGGCTACTGCTACTGCTACTGCTACCGTTATTTATAGTAGTGCTACTGTTATTGCTACTAAAACCTAACATTCTCTCATCTCTCTCACCCCCTCTCTCTCGCTTTCCCTCTGGCCTCACTGCCCACTCTGCCACGCTCAATCAGTCGAGGTCTTACGCTGCCCTGCTCTGACTGTTTCGTCAAGATGACCAGTAGATATAAGCAGTCTGACCAATAAGGTCGATTGATATGCGTGTATGCATATGCTTGTGTCTGTGCGTGCGTGTCGGTGCGTGCGTGAGTAGGTTCGTCGGTTTATGGAGGCCTCGGCGAAATTCGTTGCTTCGCATAAATAAGGAAAAATCGAGAAAGTTATGCGATCCGAAGTATGCGTTCGCAGAATTGCACGATCGAGAAAGAAAACGCGTCATGTGTGTGCAAAATTGTATCCATGAAACACACAGCAGCTACGTCCTCGGTGCAAGTGTGACGGTTCTATATATGCTCACTAACAACGAAAGGCAACATTAACCACTGATCACTTACTTTTCCCACGCACGATAGGCAAAGTTAAACAGTGCTTCCAAACATTAACCAATTACAATATAGAGAACATGCATTAACGTGTACCGACCCCACAGTTTCTCAATAGCTTACCCAACTAACTTTGGTCTATAACATTTAAATGACTATCTTTAAAAAATTGTCATACCCCTCACCAACCATCATTAGATTCTAGGTTCTACCGTTACCCCGTCTCTAAAGAATTACTGCTTGCTATTTTCCTGCTGGGTTTAGACGGACGTGTTTAGCCGTTCAATTAACTTAATTAGGCTTATGTCCAGCACTCATGCTAATTAGTGTAATTTATGCGTACTTCGTTAGTACATCGATACGACAACAACAACAACAACAACCGCACAACCGCCCCGCTACTCTCATTTCCCACATGCAGGACATGTTAGACACCATCGCCATGGTTACCGTGGACTGGGCAACAGTCCAACAGTACTCACTGTAGTCGACAAATCGTTCGTCGTCGCCGGAGCGGCAGTCAGTATCGTCGGCATCACATTCGCCTGCAGGCATCGACACTCGTCACTGCACGTGCCACGTTGCAATAGCGGTAGCATTAGAGGGAGGGGACAAGGGGAGCTACACCCCCCCCGTCTAGAAGGCTGTTTAGCCGGGCAATTTCTGCATGGTGACAACCCTGCGCGGCGAGCCGGCGACCTATCCCGCGAGTGAAGTTGTCGCCCGTCTCCACCCAACGTCATCCCCCCCCCACCCTGCCCGCCGTCCCCGCGCCGTGTGTGCGTGCAAACCGTTACGTGTCGTGTCCGTATCGGACTGTATTGCGATAGCGCGCGGGGACTAGAGCAACAATGCGCGATCATACGTCGATGGCGCTGCTGCCGCCAATAATCCGACCACCGCGAAAATCAATATACCGCGAAACGGCGGATGGCAGGCGACCGTAGATCAGGGTAGAAATAGAACGCGGCAGACGACCGTAGAACACGGGAAAAATAGAACGCGGCAGACAGCCGTAGATCAGGGTAGAAATAAAACGCGGCAGACGGCCGTAGAACACGGGAGTAATATAACGCGGCAGACGACCGTGGAACACGGGAGAAATAGAACGCGGCAGACGACCGTAGAACACGGGAGAAATAGAACGCGGCAGACTACCGTGGAACACGGCCGCAGCTCGATGGACACGGGCCGTACATCAGATCGGCCCGTCTGTGGTCATAGAGGTTAACATCACGTGGGAGAGAAATAGACGCGTGCAGGCCGGCCCGTAGCACGGTGGTAATGGAACCTGTGCAGACGGACCGTAGAACACGGCGAGAGTAGCACGCGGCAGACGACGATAGAATACAGGTGAGAAATAGAACGCGGCAGACGACAGGATAGACGACGGGAGTAATAGACGCGGCGGCGCCTCGTAGAACACGGGAGTAGGCCTATAGTAAACGCAGCAGGCGCCTCGGTAGAACCACGGGCAGTAGGCCTTAATAGAACGCGGCAGACTACCGTAGAACACGGGAGAAATAGAGAGCGCGGCTTGGTTTAGACGAAAGGTTTCCACCTTCGTATAATAACCCGGGGGCAATATAACTTCTGCTGCAATCCAGAAATTTAATCACGTTGCTATCCATGGTTTAATATCATGCTACACTCTATATAATTAATCACGTAGCAATCCAGGTTTCTCTGGCCACGTTAACAGCAGAACAAACATCATCTTTTACGTTATCATCATTTTCCACGGAGCCTGGATCCCTGGGACCGATACTTGACGCGAGTACGTCATTACCGACCTCCTGTAAGAAACCATTACGGCACCCACCTGCTTCCCGCGTATCCTTGGCGATGCCGCCAGCGACTGCATCACACGCTGCTTTTGCACCCGCTACCTCGTCGCACAGTGTTGGGTCGCCTAGCAACAAACAAATAAAGGTCCGTGTTATCACCCCAACATGTAAATTTCTGATCACACTGTCCGATAACGAGATGAGGCCTTCTTTCTTCTTTATCAGTGAAGGAAAGAATGTATTATCATCAGACGTAACAAATGTGCGCGCGCGCGCGCGCGTGTGTGTGTGTGTGCTGTGTTGTGTCGCGTGTGCGCGCTGTTCTTGTGGTGGTGTGTCGTGTGGGTGCGCGCGCCGCCGCGCGCGTCGATGTGACGTGCATGCGCCACGTGCGTGTGAGCATGGGTGCGGGCGTGCATGTGCGTGTTTGTAGGCGCGCGTGTGTGCGGGGGCACTGCGTGCATGTGTGTTCACAGTGTTGGAGGGTTTACCTTTCTTTAGTGTCAGAATCCTCTCCATCTCGTTGGTCAGGGCACTACACTCGCTCCACTCGCTCTTCTCATACTTGCACTTGGGAGCTGTGAAGAGGAACCACGACAACGCATAAGCCGTGCCCCCTCGCCAGCTAGCGCATTGCCTGTTTCACAGGCGCAGTGCACGTGGCGCGTCCGGCCCTGCTCACCGGGCGAGTCCACGACACTGTCCCAACCCATCTCACAGGCGAGTCCACGACCTGTCACGACGCCTGTTACCTGGTTGCGGAGTTCACGCACCTGTCACGAGGCCGTCTCTCGTCACGGCTGCCGAGTCACGAGCCCTGTCACGACCTGTCACGTGGGCGAGTCACGACCCGTCCTAGCCCTGTGCCACCGGCCCTGTCACGACCCTGTCACTGGGCGAGTCACGGCCCTGTCACGACCCTGTCAGCGCCATGTCACGACCGTCACGGACGACGTTAGCGAGCCCTGTCCAGCGACCCTGTCCGAGCGACGTCCCGGCCCTGTCACGAGCGCCTGTCCGTACGGCGAGTCACGACCCTGTCACAGGCCGAGTCACGACCCCTGTCACGAACCCTCGTCCCAGGCGCGGTCACGACCCTGTCACGACCGGTCACGGTGCGATCACACCCTGTTCACGACCCCTGTCCACGGCGGTTCACGACCCATGTCACGACCCTGTCACGGCTGCGAGTCACGGCCCTGTCACGACCCTGTCAACGGGCGAGTCACGCACCCTGTCATGACCTGTCGCGAGCGGGTCCCGAACCCTGTCGACGACCGCTGTTACGGTGCGAGTCACGACCCTGTCACGACCCTGTCACGGGCGAGTCACGACCCTGTCACGACCCTGTCACGGGCGAGTCACGACCCTGTCACGACCCTGTCACGGCGCTGTCGGCCGCCATGATGTACGCATGATCGACGTTTCATTTCCTGCCGACGCTAACAGCCTCGTGGTTGCGGCGCCGACGCTGACGCCTCCTGTGGTTGCGGGCGCGACGCTGCAGTCTCGTGGTTCAGCGCCGACGCTGCAGCCTCGTTGGTTGCGGCGCCGACGCTGACAGCCTCGTGGTTGCGGCGCCGACGCTGACAGCCTCGTGGTTGCGGCGCCGACGCTGACAGCTCGCTGTCTGCCGGCGCCGACGCTGACAGCCTCGTGGTTGTGCGGCGCCGGACGCTGACGCCTTTCGCTGGTTGCGGCGCCGGACACTTTGATGTCTCGTGGTGGCGGCGCTCGACCCCGCTGCGCCTCGCTTGGTTGCCCGGCCGCGACCGCTGACAGCCTCGTCGGTTTGCGGCGCCGACGGGGGTTGGGAGTCGTCGGGTGGTGGTTGCTTGTCGGGGGTGTGCGGCCGACGGCTGACAGCGGCTCGGTGCGTTGCGCGCCGACAGCTGCGATCTCGGTGGCTTTGGGTGTGGGCCGGGCGCGCTCGCGCGGGGGGGCGAGTGTGCGGCGGCGGCGAGGCGGCTGACAGCCCCTGCGTGGTTGTCGGCTAGGTCGCGTCTGATCACTCGTGGGGTGTTGCGGCGGACGGCTGCAGCGTCGTGGTTGTCGGCGCCCGACGCTGACCAGCCCGTCCGGTCCGGTTGGCTCATAGCGGGCGCTCAGCACGCTGGCCCCCGTGTGCTTTCCCCATGTTCCGCTCGTCGGTTGCGTTCTAGGCTGCGGTTGGGGCCGCCGACTCCGGGTCTGGAAGGCTTCGGTGGGTTGCGTCGGGCGAGGCCGGGGCTGGACATAACGTCCTGGGTGGGCCTGCCGCCCGGCGGCGCGCGGGCCTCGGGACGGCTGACGGTCTCTGTGTTGGGCGCGACGGCTGAGTCTTCCGTTGGTGGGTTTGGCGGCCGGGGTCGCGCCGGGGCGACGGTTGACAGCTCGTGGTGTCGGCCGCGACGGCTGACACCTGGATGTTGCGGCGCCGACGGCTGACAAGCTCGCCGTGGTCTGCGCTCGGCGTGGCGCCTGGCCTGACAGCGCTCGTGGTTGCGGGCGCCGACTCGGCTGGAGGCTCGCGGTGGGTATTCGCGGGCGGCTGCGACGCTGACAACAGCCCTCGTCGGTCTCTTGCGGCGTCCGGGGGCGGGGGGCATAACACCCCGCTGGCACAACTACGTGGTCTGCCTGCGCGCCGACGCCTGAGAGCCTCGTGGTTTGCCCGGCGCCGACGCCTGGACAACTCCGTGGTTAGGCGGCGCCTAACAGCTGACAACCTCGTGAATTGCCGGGCGCGACGGTCAGCCACCGTTGTAACCGGGTTCGGCTGGTGATGGACGGCAGCAGCGACAAGCGCACTCAGGCGGCTGGGGCACGCGAGAAGCGTGGGTGGCGGACGCTCGTACAGTCGCGGGTGTCTCTGCCGGGCGACCGTTGCCGCCGGCATGCATCGCCAACGCGCATGCCTTCCGCCGCCATCCACAACGATCGCTACGCCCACCATCACAACGTGCTACCGCGCCGATCCCAACGATGCCGCCGCCATACCAACGATGCTACGCCGGCCATCCCAACATGGCGCCGCCTCGACACAATACCGTCGCCGGTCCGATCAATCAACGATGCCGCCGCCATCACCAACGATGCCGCCGCCATCACCAACGATGCCGCCGCCCCATCCACCAAGCGATGCCGGCCGCTCCGCCGATCACCAAACGGGGGATTTTTTTTGCCGGCGCGGCCGGATAATACGATCCGCCGGCTGCCATCACCACGGATGCGCGCGCCGCCATCCACAAACGATACGCCATTCGCTCACACGATTGCCGCCTGTCGCCATCACAACGATGCGCGCCGCCGCCAATCACGCACGATGCGCACCGCCATTCGCGTTTGCCAGGCACCGCCATCACACGATACGACCGCCTTACACGCATGCCGCCGCCATTACCAACGATGCCTCCGCCATCACCAACGATCGCACGCTAGCCGCCATGCCACCAACGATGCGCCGGCCGCTATCCCCCCGATGCTGCCGCCCGCTATCACAACGATGCGCCGCCATCACCAAACGATACCCGCCGCCGCCATCACCCAACCGATTTGCCGCGCCTAATCACCACCGAGTGCCTCGCCCGCCACTACCAGCCACTGCCCGCCACTACCAGCCACCATGCCGCTTCAGCCGCTGCCGTCAACGACGATGCCACCGGCGCCGTCACCGACATCAAACGCAATCGCTAATCACGGGTAATGACGCTGGCGGGTTTCTATATCGCCAGCGCAGCAGCAGCCGATGAAAATCAAGCTGTCGCATGGTTGGTTATCGTGTATACTACAGCGTACTGGGGTCTAATACACAAGGTTACGTTTTTCATATTTTCACTATGGAAGCAATGTACGCATATCAGTGGCTAAATGTTGTCCAGCTAGAAAAGAATATCTGTTCTCATAACACGGAAGTTCGTTGTTACATATCCTGTGTGGTCACAAGCTTACAGAGCTACTCGTACGTGATTTACTTTACAGAGTGCAACATATATCAAGCAACAACTAGACAGATAACGTAGTAACGATAATTAATGTGTATTTAGTGTGGCTCTAGCGCTCTACCATACACATCGGTATGAGTTGACACTGTGCAAGCATTTTGGAGCTTACTTATTGGTTTTACTAATAATCATTATATAGATACAAAATTCAATCTAATGTTATTAAAAAATGATATGCGCAGGACAGTAATGCACAATATCAATATTAGCAATAATACATATTGGAAAGGAGGGAAAGAAGGAACATTGAAAAAGAAAACGCATACTGACTCATTTCCCTCTCCCTCATGCCTCTTTTTCTCATAACTCATAATATTCTTCAATAGACCTTTCCTCCTAACACTTCAATAGAATTACCCAGATGAAATTTAACCTTTACATTTTCCGCAACATTATTAATTTTTGAAGAGCCAAATTTACATCTTTACATCGCGGAGCAGCATATATTATTTCAACAAATTCTGCTCTCTCGTCTGCCTCAAAAGCGAGTGATGAGTTACTACGGCAGCCAGCATTCGAGGCAGGCCTGCTGCCATCATGTGTAATGTGTCGCAAAACTATTGACGGATGGAGACAAACATGTCAACATTTAATAGTGTGGATACGCAAATGATTCCAGAGTGTATTTACAACATACTATACATTGTATATATAAATAGATGAAGAAATGGTTTGCATACCAGACCGACAGCCAGCCAGCCAGACAGACAGACAGATAGATAGATAGACAGACAGACAGACAGACAGACAGACAGACAGACAGACAGACAGACAGACGGACGGACGGACGGACGGGCGGACGGACGGACGGACGGACGGAGGGTCGGACCGACAGATAACGAAGGAAGGGGTTTGCTTACGTTTGCCAAGATGAGCGTTTTCGCCCTCACACGGCACCATGCATTTCTGTAGTCTTTCAGTGAAGGCACAGTCGGCACCCTCTCGTGTCGATATTTGCTTGCCCCTACCACAGATACCGTTTTTAGGCACACACTCGGCCAGCTCCCAGGCGCTACAGTCCCGCTCTGAAAATATGAATACATACAATCACCGGACATATTGCCCATTACATACATTACATACATTACATACATTACATACATTACATACATTACATCGCATACATGGTATACTTAGCATACATACAATCAGGAGTGAATAATAATACATACAATCACCGGACATATTGCCCATTACATACATTACATACATTACATCTGATTACATCGTACTATACATGGTATATTTAGCATACATAGACCTACTATTGCAGGACACATGTAAAATATTAATATATAATGGCGCAATGTGCTCTTTTCTCCGGAATGTATTCCCGACAAATGCGTTCCGGACGCCCCAAACAGGATTCACAGGATTCACCAACCTGGTAATTATCTTTCTGCATTGCAGCAAGTAATGCAATGAATGTCCGCAGTTACGCAACCATCTGCGTTTTATGGCGGAAACAAATAATAACGTATCTGGATGAAAACCTAGAACTTTGTTGCAGGTATGGCAGTCAGATATACGTGCCGACCAAACCCTATTTCAACAACATATCATCATATGTCATCACACGGGCACGTTGTCAGTGAGGGAAATGCCACAATGAGCATCACTGGCAACAAAGAGACTATCTGGGTGTACTTTGCTTGTCAAACTAGCAATGTGTACACATGCTAATGTCGATACATTAGCTGCTGGGGATGCTGGCTAACTGATTGTCGCCGAGCGCTTTTTTGCAATGTTTGCAATGAAGTTACTGCCGCCATGTGCTGTCATTGACACGTTGGCAGGTTACTGTTACCACACCCGACACTATGTAAAAAGTATCTGTGGCGCGCGCTAAAACAAGATAAACATTTCACAAGTTCCATTAACCGATGTCGTCGTCGTTAAAATATCAATTCGCCTTCCAAACGCCGGTCGTATGTTCCGATCGAATTTTCTAGAGAAATTAATTGCTCTCTGGCTCATGATTGCCTACTTGCCAGTAACGTCAGTACCACACAGAACGGTAATGAATTACCGTTTCATTATGCCGTCAACTGTATTAAAATGTTAGCCTTTGTGCGTTTTCCCCTTAATTCCTTACATCTCGGTTTGCGGTGTGAACAATAGCAATAATTAAAGAATGATTGTAATGACTAACACAGGAATCACGTGCGTAACTGGAATAGAATCACAAGAAGAATAAAGATATAGCTTGGATGCCGCTTACATAATAGTTCCACGGGGTAACATGCAAGCGCAAACTATAAAATCATAGCTCTTAATTAATAATATCAGGATTATATTATAGAGATCTCCATAGTATACACTCCTGATAATGAAATAAATGCCGCAAACGCGCTCGTTTGATTTCTCTGGAGAAGGTACTGACGATCGTGTGTTATACAGTTATACGTTCACGAATACGAAGATACGTAATTGCCCCTTATATATATGCGATCTTTCTTCGTATATATATATATACCACACTAAAGACTTATAAGAGGGACAAACAAAGGAAGGCGATGAACGTGCTGCACGTATGCACAAATGAATGGGAGTGAATTTCCGACGTGGACCTGAGTGCTGGAAACCACTCCTACGGAGAAAATGCAAGATTACGCGCGCGTGCGTGTGTGCATGTGCGCGTGTGTGAGCGCGCGTGTGCGTGTACGCGTGTGTGTGTGCGCGCGTGCGTGTGCGTGTGCGTGCGTGCGTGTGCGTGTGCGTGTGCATGTTCCAGTGTGTGTGTGTGTGTGTGTGTGTGTGTGCGTGTGCGTGTGCGTGTGCGTGTGCGTGTCCGTGTGCGTGTGCGTGTGCCTGTGCATGTGCCTGTGACCAACATGTTGACGGAGAATAAATCTGTTAGTACGAAACTATAATAAAGATTAATAAGAGGGACACGAGATATTACATACATTGCACGTAGCTGCACAACCGAATATAGAACAATAATATGATTGGAAGTGAATTTCTGACGTCACGAGAAGCTGGAGGAAATGTATTTCTTGCATGCTGGGGACCTCTCCTAGAGAGAACGTTATGAAATTACGCCTTTCCAAGCTTGGCTTCTGCCATTTACACTCTACTAGAATCTCAGGCTGGGCATCAAAGTTTGAGTCAAAAAACGTGCATACGTGTTAACAGTCGAAAAATATAAGAGTAGTGACAAAAATGTTAAAATCGGTGAGTTTTCCCGTTTTGACGGTTGGATGAGTTATACGCAACTTATGAGGAATTTCAGCTAGTCTCATCTATATGTGAGAGAGAAGTGAGCTGAGTATGAACCTTGGTGCTATCAATATCAAAATGGAGTTGGACGCCACCGAAAATAGCAAGGTGCAAAAGGAAATATTATAAACGATTCAACCAAACGTTCTTCAGAAAACCTGGCACATTGGCGGCGGCATATCACGAAAGCAAATAGTTCCAAATTGTTCACTGCAAGCAGCCCATTATCTCCTATTTGTGTGTATAAAATTCTAGAGAGTAATTATGTGTAATTATGAGTATTTATCTAAAATTATCCAGGTTTCAGTGAAGCAACCATGCACATGCACGCACGCATGCAGTCACACACACGCGCGCACGCACTGACGCACTGACGCACGCACCCACTGACGCACGCACGCACTGACGCACGCACGCACTAACGCACGTACGCACGAGGAGCTAAATGTAACAGCTGTTATATTTAGCTCCTTGCGTAGAAGGATCGACACTTGTGGGTTACTACCATACAAATAATATCAAGAGCTAATAAATACTATTATTATAGGCATTTATTAGCTCTTGATAATATAGATAGACGAAATAATATAGGTCGGTTATCTATATTATTTTTATGGTTACTACTTATTCTGCAAGTCTACATAGGCTGACTGATAACAGGGGTGAATATTGACAAATTTGAAATTATTAATTCACCCCTGCTGATACATCGATCCGCATACTACACTCCATACACGCGGCGGGATACCTATACTGTGTGACGCACACAGCGCACGTACACGTACACGTACACGTACCCGAATATATCGGCAAAAACAAACGGATTACGACGCGGGCGATCTCGCGGCGTAATTCAGAAGCTATAATATAGATTCGTCATTCATCGGGGCACCTGCTCGCTCCCCAGGCACATGATATATAGTATTAAATTGATCAGTGGCTGCTTGTCATGCAGCGTCATCCCCCCTTCTCTCATCGCGCGGTGGAAAGATTGTAGTAGTTCAATAAAAACGCTTACTTTACAACTAAATTATTTATCACGGATAAATGAGCGGCGATATGCATTATGCAAGTGCTTGTATTACGAGCATAAGCACGTTGTATATGTCCACAGATAATCACGCGGGTATATACGGGGAGGCTTTTAAACTCTTAGCCAAAAACCTTAGGATTCGGAAGTGCAATTTTAGTGTTAAATATAAAACAGCAACAGAGGACCACGCCCTCCGAGATCCTAGACCCAAACTGTTACAAGCCAGCGCTGCGAAATGAACACGCGCTCAATACAGGATATTTTGCGCATGCACGTTACAAACCGGCAACTAAACTGTGACAGTGTCGTTTGTACACCTTGCAATTTGTTGATTTGTAAAGCCTATGACATTTATAAATGTTTGCAGGTGTCTGCCGCATATGTGTTTCCGAGACATGTAAGTGCAATTGATCCCCATGGTCGCTTACTTCAACCTCTTTCAACGTGAATTTTATATTATATATATATATATATATATATATATATATATATATATATATATATAGTCTACCCTCTCCCTCACCTCTTCGTTCCTTGGCGCAGCGACACGTTAGAGAGAGAGAGAGAGCGCGCGCGAGCGTAAACTACAGTTTCCCCTCTGCTATATTCAGCCTGTAAATAGGCGGAATCCAGGAACTGTAAAAAACTCCCATCTTTCTGCTGCAACGCTAATGTTCGTAACCTTCAAATTGACGCAGAAACAACTGTTGTCTGTCTCACATCTTACCGCTAAACAAAATGCCCCGTACGCGTAGACTGACTCCGTATGATGTCGTTTTCGGCATCACGATTCGTGTAGGCGCAGCCACAGGGACATTTAGAGTCAGACGACAAGGCACTAATGGTATCGGCAATGGAAGCAGACAATTTTGCTAGACATTTACCGTCGTCTATGTACCTATTAAAGGTACACGCGCTCGCTTCACACGCCAATGCGTGAGGTAGAACCACGCTCTGTTACACGCGGATCATTAATCGTCTAAACACACATAAACGCGCTCTCACTCGCCGAGCTCAATTACGCACACACGACGCGACGCCGCGTGGTCGGGCATTAAACAGACGCGTTTGTCCATGCTCGCACGCGGATAGCCTGAGTTTCCTCTGATCAAACCTCACACCAAATCCACCAAAAATCGTCGGTGTGGGCATTGGTCAGAGGAAACTCGGATTAGCGCGTGGAGTACTATTATCTGCATCTTCTATCTCCTACCTAATACCACAAATAATAGATAATAATAATAATACTACTACTACTAATAATAATAATAGATAATAGTCTAATATTGGCCATTTTCGCTATTACCTATTGCCTCTTACCGAAGGTGAACTAGCTTATGTACCCTGTGCCAGAACTGTAATTCTACACGAACGAATGCGGGAAATACACTTGGATATCTTGCATTCATATCTGCGTGGCCTGATCTGCACCCGATCACAGCAACACATCTACACGCCCATCCGGTAGCAGGCGGGCGAGGCTGAGGCGCTGCTGAACCTTATCAGGGTCATCTTTATATACCGCTTCGAACTCTGGGTGGGTGATGTTATCGAATTTCAATTGATACCGCATCGCATTTTTAGTGATATGGCATCGAATTCTAATTAACATGTCATCGAATTCTAATTAATATGTCATCGAATTATAATTAATATGTCATCGAATTTTGATTGATACCACACCAAACTCCTACTGATGTCGCATCGAATTCCATTTGATGATGCATCACATTCTGATCGAAGGTGTATAATTTGGTAACCCGAAAATGACAAAATATATACAACATATTGTTAGGGGGTTAGGGCTATGATTACCTAACCGTTCTAACTTCTATACACCCTTATTCTATATTCTACTACTTATTCTAAGCTACCAGCACGATGGTAGGCCTACTCCCCAGGTACATGAAAGACAGAAAGTGGACACTTGTCACCGCTTGCTTATGAGCGTTTCTGGGGGCACGTGGGGTTACCACTGTGTAAATTGCGCTCCTATTAGTATTTATTATTGACTTCAGGGAAGCAGGTACGTATAATTACAGGGTGGTTTATTATGCAATCTGCAGAACACCGAGAGCAGTTACTGAATACATGCTCTTCGGGAGAGGCGGATCCAGAGGGGGATTCAGGGGGACTGGGGTCCCTATTTATTGACTTCCGGTCTGATTTCTTCAGTATGAGGGTATTATTCATGAGGGTGCCCCCACCCTCTCTGCTATTACGCATTCATCGAACCTCTCCCTTTCAGACTTCTTGTTCCTGGGCCCCCTGTTCCTATAACGCTTACTTTGTATACCATCAAGTTGCAATGAGAATTTTTCATTTGTTATTTCTTGCTAACACAATATCTTACGTTGTTATATTGCCACTATGTTATGATAATACCTAATAATTTAAAGTGTTTGGTAACTTTTGGTTATCTGTTTGAATTCAATAGCAGATTTGATTTCGGCACGCATGACGGGAAAACAGCTTGACCGACCGGATTTACTTGTTATGCTTGACCGCTCGGAAGTAAGTCGACAAAACATGCGAATGTTCCTGCAAAGGTTGCACTGAGAAAGCTCATCAATTCAATAACACAAGCAATTTATCAATTCGTAAAACGTTGTTTTCGTGTTTTCGGCGTACATTTGAGGCGATTCGACGGCCGCACGTCGGCCTGCCCCCGCCACGCACTCCCACTCTCATCTCTCACGGCCCATTATCCGGTCTGTCATGTGCTCATCTAATGGTGCATGTACACATTAGAAAGGAGTGGCGGGGAGACTATAGTTATAGCTACACAGGAAAGAACTAGCTTCGTCGGTTTTTTTTATTCGATTCGCTGATCGGCGGGGAGCGAAATCGAGAGATGGTGCGACACGCTGACCTTCCATAAGAGCAACATTCCAGTCGTCTGCCGCCCACCGCCACTCTTCATCATCATCGTCGCCCGCAGGCGATTCTCCGTTCCCGACCGTTTATCCGAACAGACTACAGAAAATACAGCCGTAAAATACGCAAAATAGCAGAAAATACAGCCGTATTACATAACACGTACAATACCATGCCACGCCACGCTACGTCACACCACGTCACACCACGCGCCACGCCACACTACGATCTTTTCTCCCCCTTCGCTCTCATTCGCGCGCCCTCTCAGTCTCTCTCTCTCTCGCCCTCTCTGTTTCTCTCCCTCTCTCCCTTTTTCTCATAATATGCAAAGATTGATAAAACAAAAACATACAAACTACTAAAACAGTTTAATCGATAGTGAATATACAGTAAATGTCATTGCAGGATTATCATAGCAGAATGTAAAACTGATTCTTGCATGCCTTATAACTAATCTGTCAAAACATTCTGGGCAGATTTTCTTCGGGTTATGCAGCAAAATTACTAGGTTTTACTAACCAATTTTAATCCTGCAACTAAACAATACTGGAACGGTTTATAGCAAGCAGAAAATGCCTTATAGAAGCGGACCGGCTCTAACACTAATGAACAACTTGCACCCACTATACAGATTGAGGATTAGTTTTTATCCACAGAGGAAGATATATGTACTTAACGTAATTGCACGTTCTAAACATCCCCCAGCTTTAACCCACAGTGCATCCATTTCATAATTGTTCAACGCAGTAACAGGCAATAGTGGACGACAATTTTGGAGGTGCCAGCATTTTCATGGTTCCTACATTCGTGCCACGTGACGGCTATCACGCTTTCTGCACTTGTGTCCCTGTTGTACATTTCTATTTCAGCTATGCTATGAAAGCCACCCCTATTCCGATAATGCTACGCCACCTCTTCTTATACTGAAAACAGTACAGTGACAAAAGAAGTGCAATGCTGAAAGCACAATTATTTTATACTGTACCTTGGTAGATTACGAGATATATAAACGTGAAAAATTCCAAAAAAAGCTTATGTTTATCCTTTTATATGGAACGATATTTGCTCAAATATGAACGTTTCTGACACAAATGAGTCCCAGCCAATTCCCTAGCTCTCTCCAAATAAGACGCAGGCATTACAATCGACGTGAGCATAGAGTGAAAAACAGCAATAAACACAGCCACCCCACACGCACACAACCAGTATCACTAGCCCTGTTTATCTATAGGCCTTGCTCACAACTACGCACGACCATGTTATATAGAGGGCTCTAGACTCACCCGTCACTTGTTCGTCAACGACCTCTGGCGGCGGTGGCGCTGCTGCTGCAGGTTCTTCCTGAGCACGGCAGCTTCCTGCTATGAGGACCAGTAGGACGACGGCGAATGGTATGCTGCTTCCACGCATGGCTGTGATCTGCAAAGCAACGGTAATAAGTGACACATGAGCGCAGGAAGCTGGTTACCTACATTAACCTACATACGTTAGTGGGGTCTATGTAGCGCCCCTCCCACCACACATACACACACGCATGCACGTGAGCGCGCAGACATACACACGCACGCACGCACACACACACACACACGTCACAGTTCACACACAGCACAGCTCTACAGCAATCACACAACACACACACAGCACACACATGCAAGCACACACCACAACACTCACACACGCCCACACACCACACGACATACACGCACACCACACACACACAGCACACACACAGGCGGTACCCACACACACACACCCACACGCACCACAAGACACGCACAAGAACGCACACACGCGCGCGCGCAACACACACCACACACACACACACACACACACACACACCACACACACACACAAGCACATACACACATGCACACACATATATAAATATTAAATGTGTTTCAAAGTGAATCGAAATGCTCCTACGCCTGGAGGTCGTCCTGGCTAGGAATGTCTTTTTTTCTTCTTCGTTGATTTCCATGTTGGCAGGGTTATTGTGATGTCTTCTATCCTTCCCGGATTTCGGACCGTAGTTTGAGTCGTATGGTTGGATGGTGTTTAGATCTGTGGATCCAATAGGGCTTCTCTTCTTTCCCCTTTTGGCGCCCCCTCACGCATGCGTGCGCCGCCTTTTGGCGCCCCTGCGCCCCCTTTCGAGCGCCCCCTAACAACGTGGCGCCCCTCTTCTGTACACGGCGCGCCCCCTTTTAGGCGCCCCTGAACACCTGCGTCGCCCGCTCTCGGCGCCCCCTATTGGCGCCCTGCTCTGTTAGTACTCGACCTACGGGTATATAAGGAGGAGAAGAAACGCTGAAAGAACACAGTTTTTTTTTCAGCTGTATAAAAAGTAGAAGAACCCTGACGAGATGACTACCACAAGTCGAAACTAGTCGTTCCATTGCTACTTAAGTGATAGGCAATTTCTTAAACAAGACTTTTTTTAGCAATTTTTCTTTATACATGTTATAAGGCAACAACAAACCAACAAAGCTAAATCCCGCGGTGGGTAGGCTCAGTCGAGCTGTGCCCCGTAGAGGCCTGCCAGGGCCTCGTTCTTCAAAGCATGTCCATATATCAAATATATACTGTTCTGTATACTCATGTTTAGATATATATATATAACATTATATATATAATATATATATACTATATAAGATATATATATATAATATATATACATATCAGATACATAGTATACCCATAGTATCCTTGACTGGAGCCGACATTAACATATATAACATATCATGTACATAATACACATATATATACATATATATTATACCATATATACTCTATATAATATATATATTCGTAGTACGAGTATAGTGACTACTACACCTATACCGATAAGGATATTAACACATAGTAGTAACCGAACCTCATACATATACATAGTAGACATATGATCCAGTAGTAACCATCATATACATGTAGATCGACAATATATCAGTATAATATCAGGCTAAGGTATATATAGTAGGTATATTAGCAAGACTTATATGACTATCGGCTTATTCCTGGTACTCCTGATATGATATACGTATGAGTATACGGTGGGCGCCGTAGCGCTACGAGGAAGTAAGAGCGGCTTGGGACATGTAACGACGGCCTGAAACAGACGCACATGGTGGCAGAACGCACTTTAGTACGCCGGCTCTGCGGCACATTCCACGGGTTTACAGAAAATTGATACTAGCACTATCGTCACAACTATCTTACAATATTTTGTGCGTATAAACTTATGACGTCCTGTACCTATGTAGTCATAACTATTTATGATGATTCTGACAACGTGTTCTAGGACACCCACCCGCAACCAGCCAAACCAGTACAACAACGTCGTACAATTTTTTCCTAGACCTCAGTCAGACAGTACTGCCCATCGGCACAACAAACCACTACCTGATGCGTATCACGCTGGTAACCGCCAGCGCGGCGTCAACCCCGGCCGGCCGGCTGCGCCCACGCGGGGCCCCTCTCCGCGCCGTGCGTGTAGAGGTGAGGCATGAGGGCAGCCATGTCACCGCGGCGCGGCGGCCCCGGCGCCCCCCCGCCCAGCGGCGGGCGCGGAGGCGCCTCAGCTGCGTGCTACCGTCGCGGTACCCCACGCGCGCGTTCGGTAAGTGGCAACAGAAGCTGCTACGCGCTTCACCTCGCGGTGAGGCTCTTTATGGGCCAATGGATGAATAAGACTGAAGTCATTAAGAGGGGAAACGATCGAACTCGGGGCACGACTGCGAAACATCGAATTTCGAAACAATTAAGAGAGTAGCTAAATGAGATGCCGGTATAGCGCGGATTGCCATGACCTCATGCGGAACGTATAATGACGTCAATAAACCCACCCAGAAGAAATCTCTCACACGCCAACTGACATTTAAACGCGTAAACTCGCGAACCCTATACCTATGGTCTATTACACAAATACACTTCAACAGCAATGCAGAATGAGCGCACGGCACGCATACACGCCACGGCCACGCGCTACCGGCGCCGGCCGCCACCGCAGCACGCACGCGCGGAACGGCACCCGGCACGGCAAGCCACGCACCGCGGGTGGCCGCCGGGCGCGCGGCGGCAACACATCAGCATATATATGGTAGTATATAGATCGAGGAGGCTAACTAATGCACAGAGATACCGTGTTGTCGATGCTAGTAGATTTGTACATTATAATTGGTCATTTATATTTTCATTCTATTCTGTCGTGGATTAGATTGTCATGATATATATATAGTATATACTAAGCCTATACTGATCTATAGGTATAGGTATATCATAGTGAATATAGCTATCTGATTGACGACATATAACGATAAATCAGCAATATGTACCACATGGCCTAGGTATATATGGTCATACATCGGGGACTATACGGAACACTGCGGGCAGTAACGGGCGGCAGACTATTTCTAGATATACAGACCGCTATAGCGCGCGCTGAAACGCAGGGCTCGCACTCAGGTAATCGACCGAGCCACCAGGCTAGGGTAGTTCCGGTGTAAGTCACTGCGAACGCGCCTCGCTGGTCATGGGCACGACCAGAGAGGCCCTTGGGCTCCAGCACTTGGCCCGTAATTATGCGCCCGCGGACGAACAACAAACATGGCGCGGCGCACTGGAGTGTGGAAATGGAGAAGCTGCCGGGATTCCTTCTCATAAAGGCCGTATATCACACCCGATATGAGGCAGGGCTATAACCGGGAGCTCAGCGGATGAGAGAAAGGAGCTTCTGCTGTCTACTTACACTAACACGTCATGCTGTCCTTCTCTGAGATGCAACGTTGCAACGGAGGAAATGCATACGTAGTCACAGCCACGTAACACGCCCCGGGTCCTGACACCCGCGACCACTCACGACAGCAATCCAGCGCGATGCGTCTACACTAGTGAAGAAGGCGTGCCAGGCGAGCGAGAGGAGAGGAGAGGAGAGAGAGAGAGGAGGAGAGCGACGAGAGAGAGCAGCATGCGCGCGGAGCGTAAACTACAGTTGTCGCGCCTCTGCTCTATTCAGGGTGCCTGTAAATACGGCGGGAATGCGGGAACTGTAAAAAACGTCCGCCATCTTTCTGGCTGCGAACGCTAGATGTTCTGTAAGCCTTCGAATGACGCAGAGAGCAATCCTGTGTGTTGTGTGCTCACATGCTGGACCGCGGGCTAAACGCAAACTGCCCGTTACGCGTAGACTTGACTCCGTACTGATGTCCGTTTTTCGGCATCACCGATTCGCCTGTAGCGCACGCAGCAGGAGCATTTAGAGTCAGACGACAAGGCGACGCGGTATGGATTGGCTATCGCGAATGGAGCAGGAACAATTTTGCTAGACATTTACCGTCGGTCTATGTAGCGCGTATTAAAGGTTCGAGCACGGCGCTGGCGCTTCACACGCTCAATGCGTGAGGTGTAGAAACACCGCTCTGTTACAACGCGGATCATTATGCGATCTTAAACACAGATGAAAGGGCTGTCGGTGCGTCCGCCGAGCTCAATTAGAGCGCAAACACGGACGCGAGCCGCGTGGTCGGGCATTAACCAGACGCGTTTGTCCAATAGCTCGCACGGGAGTAGCCTGAGTGGTGTCCTCTGATCAAAACCTCACACCCGAAGACCACGCAAACACACTCGTCGGTGTGGGGCATTGGTCCGAGGAAACTCGGATTAGGCGCGTGATACTATTATCTGCCATCTTCTATCTCCTACCTAATACCCAACAGATAATAGATAATAATAATAATCTACCTACTAATAATAATAATTCAATAGATAGATAGTCTCAATATTGGCGCCATTTTCGCTATTACCTAA